TGCCAGCAAACATCCAGACAGTTCTGGCAGCACAACCGACCGCCTCGCTCGAGATATTAGTAGATTTAGCGGACGGAATTCAGGACATTGCTATATCTTTGCCTCAAGTAGCTACCACCAGTTACTGTGCACCTCCAACTCCTGGTTCCACGATGGATTCGATTGCCAAAGAAATTGCAGAATTAAGAAAGTAAGTGGAAAACCTAACAAAGATCCTTCATCGGAGATCTCGCTCTCGCACGAAATATCATGAGCGTCGCAGACGTTCATCATCGACCCGATCAGCATCTTAATATCGAAGGCATCCAAAATGTTGGTTCCATGCGAAATTCGGTGTCAACGCCAAAAGGTGTGTTCGCCCATGTAATTTCCAGACGGAAAACATGAAGGGCAGTCGTTAATGGCGACTGATGATTGCCCAAGTTCTACTGGTCGTTTCTTTGTCACGGACCGAAGATCGAAAATACAGTTCCTGCTCGACACGGGTAGCGACCTCTGTGTTTTCCCTCGTGCATGGCTTCCTGAGCGACGTACGAAGACCACCTACCAACTCTGCGCAGCTAACGGGAGTGTCATCAACATGTCCCTTCGTAGAGACTTTAAATGGCGTTTTGTAGTTGCCGATATAACAAAGGCTATTATTGGTGTAGACTTTCTCTCTTTTCATAATTTAATTATAGATTGTCGTAATCACCGTCTTGTAGATAATACCACAACTGTTTCTGTCAATGCTTTGTATGTTAAAGATTTAGATGCTGTTTCGTCCGTTAAGGTTGCGACTGGTGACACGAGGTACCATGATATTCTAGCCGATTTTCCAGAAATAACACGTCCGGCTGGGACGCAACGTAACATTCCACATAACACCGTACATCACATTCGCACTGCACCAGGTCCTCCTATTACATGCTCTCCCAGGCGTCTTGGTCCGGATAAATTAAAAATCGTGAAACAAGAATTCGAGTCAATGCTTGCTAGCGGTATCGTCAGACCATCAGAGAGTTCATGGGCCTCTCACTTACATTTAGTTCCCAAAAAAGAGAAAGGCTGGCGACCCTGTGGCGAATTATAGGTTGCTTAATGCTAGGACTATTCCTGATAGATATCCCATAAGGCACATCCATAACTTTACTCACAGCATCGCTGGATGTAACATATTTACTACATTAGACCTTGTTAAGGCCTATAATCAGATACCTGTCAGTATTAGACATACCAAACCGATTACCTTAATTATATGAATTACGGTTTGCGTAATGAAAGTCAAACCTTCCAAAGGTTCGTGGATGAGGTCACACGTGGTTCAGATTTTTGTTACTGTTACCTGGATGACTTTTTAATATTCTTGAGGAGTGAGTCAGAGCACGAGGAGCATTTTACGCCAGATATTATACCGACTGAAGGAGTATGGGATGTTGATCAACACCTCTAAATATGTTTTCGGTGCGTCTGAAGTAACATTTTTGGGGTATAAATTTTCCTCCAATGGTATTAAGCCTCTCCAGGAGAAAGTTCAGGCGATTAAAGTTTTTCCTTCGCCCAAAAACGTTCGACAGCTCAGAAGATTTCTGGGCATAATAAATTTCTACCGGCGATTTTTGCCTAATGCTGCGCGCATTCAAACTCCCTTAAATGCATTACTTGCAGGAGCCACAAAAGGTTCACAACCAATCAATTTAACAGGAGGCGCTAGTAAGGCTTTTGACGATTGTAAGCTAAGCCTACCTGAAGCAGCTTGGTTCACACACATTCCAAGCTCGCTCTTGTTACTGACGCTCAGATATAGCTTTGGGTGCAGTTTTGCAGCAGTACAAAGACGGCACGTGGCAACCGCTTGCATTTTTCTCACGCAAAATGAGTTCTGCGCAGCAAAAATATTCGCCATACGATAGAGAGCTTCTCGCCATCTATGAAGCCATTAAGTATTTTCGGCATATGTAAGAGGCGAGACATTTTATTGTCTATACCGACCACAAGCCTATCAGTTTTGCTTTCCGCGAGAGGAAAGGCAACTGTTCGCCTAGGCAGTATAGACATCTAGACTACATTTCACAGTTCACGACCGACATAAGGCATATATCTGGTAAAGACAATGTTGTTGCCGATGCCTTATCTCGAATTGAAGAAATGCAAGCGCCCGTCAATCTCAATACATTGGCCGAAGCTCAAGCATCAGATCTCGAACTGGCTGAACTTCTCAAAGGTGGATCATTCCTTCGCTTAGAGAAGTATGACATTCCTGGGAGTAGAACATGTGTGTACTGCGATGTCAGTGCACTGACTCCAAGACCATTTGTCCCTAAAGTGCTACGCAGACAATTTTTTGAAAGTCTGCATTCTTTGAGCCATCCAGGCGCGAATGCTACAGCAAAACTAGTTGCAGAGCGTTTTGTGTGGCCTAGCTTCAGGAAGGACTGCAGAGAGTAGTCTACGTGCCTGCTTAGCTTGCCAACGTGCCCAAGTGACGCGACAAGTATCAGCGCCTTTAGGCATATATAACCTACCGCGTGCAAGGTTCAAGCACGTCCACATCGATCTTGTGGGGCCTCTGCCACCATCGCAAGGCTTTCGATACTGCCTCACTGCAGTCGATCGCTTTACACGATGGCCAGAGGTCGTACGCATCCAAACACTCTTCTATGGATAGCTAGGTACGCTGTACAGTAGACATTGTTACATCGCGGTCGACAGTTCGAATCCGCTTTGTTCCAATATTTATCGAAGATAAATGGGTTCCAGCATAAAAGAACAACTGCTTACCATCCGGCATGCAACGGTTTAATAGAGCGTTTCTACAGCCAGCTCAAGGCAGCGATCATGTGCCATGCAGATGAGCATTGGACTGAATCTTTACCTTTAGTTCTCCTTGGCATTCGTAGTGCATTTAAGGAAGACTTGCAGTCTTCGTCTGCCGAACTGCTATATGGAGAACCACTTAGGCTACCTGGTGAATTTTTTGACCCCACCATAAATGTTACGTCAGATGTAACCGAATTTACAACCAGGTTGCATAATTTTGTTAAACATTTGCAACCTGTCCCAGCTTCACCCACACAAAAGAAAAAACTTTTGTATACAAGGATCTCGCAACTACTGAACACGTCTTCTTAAGAGAAGACGCTTCGCGTTCGAGTTTGCAACCTGCGTACTCAGGTCCGCACAAGGTACTCGCTAGAGGAGATAAGGTATTTAAACTCCTGGTAAAAGGCAAAGAGATGAATGTCTCAATCGACAGACTTAAACCGGCTTACATTTTAGCTGACGGTAGCAGCTACAGTTCCATTCAGGCCGCTTCCTCAGAGAATATTAAAGGGACCCATCCGGGTCCAATTACAAGGTCTGGACGCCGTGTTAGATTCCCGGACTATTATCGACCATAAGATGGCCTCTGGGGGGGAGTGAATGTAGGCTACTTTCCTACATCATACACACACACACACACATATGCCATACAGATACACACATACATACTCTCTCACACTCAACATATACAATACTTTTACACGCCACTATATACTCTCAACACAATGCACGTAGCAACAGCCGGCGTTGAACGCGCCGCCCGGAATTCCGTCACAGCTGGCAAAAGGATCGCCTGCGTCCGCGCACCGCGTTCACCAGTCGTTCTACCGAAACGACGCGGAACGCATGTCGCTCGCTAGCGCTAATCCTTTGTTCTCGCCGTAGACTTTTAAATATTACGGTTATTGATTGTGCTTTTTCTAGACTGTATTTTTATTATAAACTCTTTTATCTTGGCTTGCGTATCTTCTGCTTATTTGTGCTAAATTGTGTATCTCCTGCTTGTGTGTATTAAATTAAACATTTTAACTGTCAGTGTTGTGGACTTATTTGTATAGACTATTTATCTCGTTAAAAATGATAGCAGTAAAGATAACCAATCATATTAAATTTACTTCAAAGACTGTATTATTAAATATAACGATGTTTAACAATTAACTACCAAAAACGAGAAACTACTGCTTATTAAGTTAAGAAAAAGACATTTAATATTCTTCACTTTGAAACCACTTTAATATTAAGATTGTTGACTTGTTTAAATTAGTATGATTTTTTCTAGTGTAGATGGCGTTGAGCAATAAATAGATCGCGATATAAGGTAGGCATGTCATTTACAATAAGTGTGAACTGTAAATTTTTATTGTTACCTAATAAACCAGATCAAGTATAATACTTGTGAGCACCTCTGGTTTTTTTTTGTCATACAGTCCATACCCAAGTTTTGTTCATGGTCATTCGAACCGGACGTGGTTCATATCTGAACAGGTGCTTTTAGGAACAGAATTAAACCTTAAAGTTATCGCCCTCGTATTACGGTGAAGTAATACCTGGCACAGTCTAGTTACACTGTGAGGCAGTATATACACAGGAATCAGACGCGAGAGTACGGCGGGAGGAAAGGAGATAGTGGACCACATTAACAAACGGAAACAGCCATATTATAGGAAGTCAAGCAGTGTATTATATAGACGGCAATTTCGACCCTATTTATTGTGCAGTAAGGAAAGTGCGGAGCAGAAGTGAGTGGTAATCATAAAAAAAAAAAAACTGTGAGTACATTTTTAAAATTCATTATTGTGGAAAAGTGAGCCTTATTTACCAAGCAAGCGTAAATTTCAACCTTTAAAGGATTTCATTTAATTTGTTGAAATTTGAACTTTATTTATAAGAAAAATTAAACATAGAAAAAGTGCTAGTGATTATAAGACTTTAGAACTTAGAAAATAATTTTAATGTAAATTGTAGACTTAGTTAATTTTAAGTAAATTTTGGTTAAGACGGGGAACCTATGCCCGATTTTTTCTCAGATATAAGTTGTTAAAACACTTGTAAAAATTTCATAATTACTTGGGACTTGTAATTTATTTCAGTTTGATGTGAGTAGTTAAAACAGTTAATACAATTGTGAGAAAGTTATTCCATTATACTCTCCGAACTTTTGTTATTTACTAAATTGTTGTTACTTGCTTTTATCAAAGATGTCTTTACAAACACTTATTAAGATTCAAGAGGATATTTATAACAGATTGTCTAAGGCGAAAAGTAATTTTAAGAAATCGCCCAAAGATAGGATTACTAAACAATATGTTGAAACTAGATTGGAGAATATACAAGAATTGTGGTCTCAGTTTACATCTACACATATTCTTATTATAAAAGATGATTCTATGGATTTAAACTCAACTTCATATGTTAGGAATGATGTGTACGATAAAACCGAGACTATTTACTTAGACTTAAAGTGTGAATTGAAGACTATTTTATCTAGTTTAGAAGGCGATATCCATCAACAACCTAACAAGTCAATTTCAAATGAATTAGGAATTAACAATATGGGCGTTAAATTACCTAAGATAGTTGTACCTACTTTTTCGGGAAAGTACACTGAATGGCCGACATTTCGAGACTTATTTATTTCTTTAATTGACAAAAATAGTTCGCTTGCTAAAGTTCAGAAACTTCATTATTTAAAAAGTTATCTGACCGGGGAAGCCGAGCAATTGCTGAGGCATATTCCTATATCGGAATGCAATTATGACAAATGTTGGTCTCAGCTTGAAACACGGTACAACAACAAAAAATATTTGTCACATTGTATATTAAAAAGATTATTAGGTCAAAAGAATATTCAAACCGAATCATCTGAAGCGCTTAAGGAGTTGATGGATACTACCTCTGATTGTTTGGGTGCCTTATCGAACTTAGGCATTGATATAAGTTCATGGGACATAATTATAATTCATATCCTTACACTAAAATTAGATGCTAATACTAGAAAAGATTGGGAAATAAATGTCACTAGCAATGTCGATTCTGATAAGTTACCTACATTTGCACAATTTAAAGAATTTTTGACGGGTCGATACAGAGCTTTTGAGTTTTTAGAACCTGATCCAACTCACAAAGTAACTAAAAATAATTTTAATATAAATAAATCTTTACATGTTATGATTACTATTATGTTGTGTCAATTTTGCAAGGAAGAACATAAATTAGGCTTTTGTAAACAATTTTCGAAACAAGATATTGACACTCGGCGTAAGTTTGTGCAGGACAATAATTTGTGTTTTAATTGCTTGGGCCAGAATCACTCTGCCAGGTATTGCCGCAATGCAATAACATGCAGAATTTGCAAACGCAGACATCATTCTTTGTTACACCCAAAAAACACAGATGAATCTGTTCATCATACAGAGGTCCAAGCGCATGATGATATGGATGCAGAAATATCATATGAGGCAGTTGAAGAACAAGGTGATATGGTTGCCTGTTTTTCGAAAGGGCACGCTAGTCAAGTGTTGTTAGCTACAGCACTGGTCACAGCATTGTTTAAAAACGGAGCTGAATTCACAGTTCGGGCGCTACTAGATCAGGGCTCTCAAGCTTCCTTCGTAACTGAAAAGATAGTGCAATATTTAGGTTTAAAGAAACAACCCACCAAGGGAATCATTTCCGGAGTTGGCGGTGATAATAATTTAATATCAAAATCAATGGTTTATATAAAAATTCAATCAAAATATGATCCGACCGTCGAATTTGTAGTTAAGGCTTACGTCTTGAAGTCAATTACATCTCTTCTTCCTGCAAGAAAAATAACTGAATTAAAATGGGTGGAAATAAACAATATACCACTAGCAGATCCTCAATATCATACACCTCATAAAGTTGATATGCTATTGGGAGCAGAGGTTTACTCTAAAATACTACAAGATGGTGTTAAAAGGGACCCGGGAGGTACAATAATAGCACAAAAAACTAGTTTAGGTTGGATTTTGTCTGGAGCAATTCGATCAAGTGATGTTGGTACATCGCATCTTAAAATTTTGCATATTCACATGAATGAAGATCAGGTATTAAGAAAATTTTGGGAATTGGAAGCAGAGCCAAATAATAACAAAAAGATTCCCACAAAAGAAGAATCTTGGTGTGAAGATCTGTTTCGTCAAACTACAACAAGAAATGCAGATGGTAGATACGTAGTTCGTTTACCTTTTCGGAACGACGATCCAGATTGCCAATATGGCCAGTCTAGGGATATTGCACTGCAACGATTTAAGTATTTAGAGGCGAAATTGAACAAAAATATTAAATTAAAGAATGAGTATGTAAATGTTATCAATGAATATATCAAACTTGGACATATGGAAAGGGTAGATCAATCCCAATTACAAAATAAGTTTGCTGTATACTTGCCACATCATGCCGTAGTGCGTAATGATAAGGACACCACAAAAGTTCGGGTTGTATTCGATGCTTCGTGCAAGGGAAAGAATGGAGTGTCGCTTAATGACGATTTATTGATAGGACCTCCTCTTCAATCTGAATTAAGGCACGTCTTGATGCGATGGAGAAGGCACCCAATTTGTTTGGTTGCGGATGTCGTAAAGATGTATAGGCAAGTAAGAGTGGCTGCTGAAGACACAGACTTCCAAAGAATATTGTGGAGAGAAAACGGTAATTCTAGCATACAGGATTACAAATTACTTACAGTTACATTTGGTACTGCATCCGCTCCATACTTAGCAGTAAAGGCAATGCAACAAGTAGCTCAAGACGAAGGTGACGAATTCCCACTTGCCGCTGAAAGAGTCATGACTGATTATTACATGGATGATCTCATGACAGGGTGTGAAAATGTGGATACGGGCCTAAAAATTTACAATGAAATGAATTCTCTTTTAGCAAAAGGAGGTTTTCAGTTGCAAAAATGGTCAAGCAACAGCGATTATCTGCTAAAAATAATAGAAAAGGATTACTTGGATAAGGATAGGAGTGAAACATTTAATATTAAGCAAGACGAAATAATTAAAACACTGGGACTAACCTGTAACCGATGCCTTGACTCTTTTCAGTATGCAGTAAAACTTCTTCCTCTGACTGAACCGATAACAAAAAGAAAGGTTATTTCAGATATTTGTAGACTTTTTGATCCCTTGGATTGGGTCGCTCCTTGCGTAATATTAGCAAAAATTGTCATTCAAAAGCTCTGGATTACAGGAATTGGATGGGATGACGTAGTACCGGTAAACATAAAAGATGAATGGACGACTTACCGAATCGATTTACTCAGGTTAACTGAATGTTCTGTACCGAGGTGGATGGGAATGAAAGAATCTGATAAAAGAATTGATTTACATGGCTTCTGTGATGCGTCAAAACAAGCATATGCGGCTGTCGTGTATGTCAGAGTAGTGGACTCTAAAGACAAGGTACACGTTCATTTAATAACCGCAAAGACAAGGGTCGCCCCTATCAAAACAATATCACTTCCAAGATTAGAATTATGTGGCGCAGTCTTGCTAGCAAAATTAATAATTGAAATCGCAGAAGTACTAAACATAGATAAAACTAACCTCTTTGCTTGGACTGACTCTGAAATAGTGTTAGCGTGGATAAACAGTCACCCAAGCAGATGGAAAACTTTCATTGCAAACAGAGTTTCGGAAATTTTAAACATAATGGAGCCACAGCAATGGGGTCATATTCAATCTAAGCAAAATCCGGCTGATTGTGCCTCTAGAGGTATTTTTCCATCCGAACTTGTGCGAAAAAAGTTATGGTTTCGTGGTCCAGATTTCTTATATCAGTTGAAAACGAAACCTGTAAAACCAAAAACCATATCGACTTCATTAGAGCAAGTACAGGTATATAATACTGAAACATCAGAATGTAATAATGAATTCGAAGAAAATGAATTTATTTTGCAAAATTGGTCCACACTTACCAAACTTGTTAGAATTGTAGCATATTGTAGGCGATTTTTAGAATTAAGGAAAATAAAGGTAAACAGGAATATAAAAAAATATTTAACCGCTTTTGAACTGAAACAAGCCTTGAACACTTGCATAAGGATTTGTCAAAATAAAATATTTAAGAAGGAAATTCATAAATTGAAATTAAAAGAATATATTACTCATGGTCCATTAAAACCAATCAACCCATTTTTGGATGATGAAGGTATATTAAGAGTCGGGGGAAGGTTAGAAAACGCCGAAATCCTTTGGGACAAAAAACATCCTATTATATTACCAAAGTGCTCAAGTCTTACTAACCTTATAATTGCTGATGCTCACTATAGAACACTTCACGGAGGCCCACAACTAATGTTGAATTTTTTAAGATCTTCATATTATATAATAGGAGTCAAACAATTAGTTAAGGCTTTTTATCGTAAATGTATAACATGTATTAGATTTGCAGCAACAACGAAGACTCAACTGATGGGTCAACTTCCTGCCGTAAGAGTCACCCCTACTAGACCTTTCAAACGAAGTGGAGTAGACTATGCGGGCCCTATCAGTCTAAGGACCTCAAAGGGACGTGGACACCATGCGTACAAGGGATATATTTGCTTATTTGTATGTATGGTTACCCGTGCTGTGCATCTTGAAGTTGTCAGTGATCTTTCCACTCAAGGGTTTCTTGCAGCCTTTAAACGTTTCGTCGCACGACGTGGTAATTGCAGCGAACTGTGGAGTGATAATGGGACCAATTTTGTAGGAGCTTCGAGAGATTTACAAAGGCTATTTAAATCTGAGCAGTCAAGAATTGCCAAGGATATAGCCCAAGCTTTAGCCAACAACGGTACTAGTTGGCATTTTATTGCACCTCATGCCCCAAACTTTGGGGGAATTTGGGAAGATGGCGTTAAGTCCTGCAAGCATCATTTGAAAAGAGTTATAGGACAGTCTACTTTGACTTTTGAAGAAATGTCAACACTTCTGAGTCAAATTGAAGCTTGTCTTAACTCACGGCCGATTTCAAGATATAATGATAATGATGAAACAGTCGAAGCATTGACACCAGGTCATTTTCTAATTGGTGAACCAATGTTAACAGCCCCGGATTACAATTTCGATTCGTCTAACATTACGTATTTGAAAAGATGGCAACAGGTTCAAAAAATGACCCAGGACTTTTGGAAACGCTGGTCCCAGGAGTACTTATCTCATTGCCTGAAACGATATAAATGGACAAACCAAACAGCTGAACCAAATATAGGCGATATTGTTATTGTAAAGTAGGACGATCTACCTCCCTGTCGTTGGCTTCTTGGTAGGGTGATTCAGAAACATCCTGGCCCAGACAATCTTACACGAGTCGTCACGTTACGTACAAAGGCCTCTGTGATTAAAAGACCTACTTCTAAATTGTGTATTTTACCTTTAATGTAAAATGAAATTTGTGTGTTACTGTATTAGTTATAATTATAAGTTGTATTTATATTTCTATGTGGGTTTTTAAGTTCTTAGATTTTTAAATGATGTTAGTTACATAAGGTAATATTAATAAGTGGGTTTTTTTTTTGTCATGGTGGGTAGTAAAATAAAGGACAATTTGTCAATATGTCCTTGGGGGGCGGTATGTTGACTTGTTTAAATTAGTATGATTTTTTCTAGTGTAGATGGCGTTGAGCAATAAATAGATCGCGATATAAGGTAGGCATGTCATTTACAATAAGTGTGAACTGTAAATTTTTATTGTTACCTAATAAACCAGATCAAGTATAATACTTGTGAGCACCTCTGGTTTTTTTTGTCATACAGTCCATACCCAAGTTTTGTTCAAAGATTGTGTTTTAAACATAAGAATAATTTAAATAAATTATTATTTAATAAAAAAAAATCTTATCACTTTTGTATTTCTTAAGAAAAATATATTTCTTTTAAATATATTGCATTCCAGTTAGGAAAAGATATCCAACTCAGTATAATGATGCTCCTTAATGCCGCACTACGGCGCGGCGTTAAGGAGCTTAACGTTGATTTCTTAACTATATATCTCAACGTTATGGGTAAAAGTCTCGAAAACTGGAGACCCCTCTTACTGTAAACGAGGCATTCCATCTTAGTCCTTAGGGGTGATAACGCATCAGCATCTTGAGTCTTAATCGAGAATAGATGTAGATGTCTATGGGCCACAGCTTCCACTTAGCATCAGGTGGAATGTGTCCTCGTTACTCACCCTTATTCTATAAAAGGTAAATATCATTACTGTTCATTTGTAAAGTTGTCTATCATCGGCCTTAACGATAGTTTAAAGTCTCGGCTAATAATGTTTGTCTATCGGTACATCCCTGGTTAGTTGTTGGAAATTTTATTCCCCCACGGGGTATAATCTAATCATCTAATCATTTAAAGGAAATTAAAGTTTATGTCTGCAATATTAAAATAAATGGCTTCTAGCTCCAGGAGTTATTTGCAGCCATTTAGACATATTTAACCATTATAAATATTTTTGCCTGTCTCTCCGATCTTATCTACGGAATAGCTGAACCAGTTGTAACGAAACTTGATGAACAAATAAAAAGCAATGCTGGGAGTGATCCAAACTTTATTTTATTCGAAAAACTATGAGGTATTTCTCTTGGATAAAAATTAGATTTATCTTAGATCTTAAATATAAACAACGCCACATTAATAATCCTACCCAGGTAATATAGAAAAAAAAAACAATATAAATGTATAAACAGTGTGATATTTTTTCATTTATTCTCTATGTAAAATCTACAAGAGATTGTATTATTTATTTGTTTCTTCTGGGACAGTGTCATCAGTCATAATATTTTCCATTTATTTTTCCACGCACTTTATTTTGCGTCTAAAATAAGGGTGACAAACGAGGACACAGTATATCTGATAGTTAGTGGATACTCCGGTGCATAAACATCTACTGGTACATCAATCATCCTGGGTAAATACATGGAGTGCCTTATTACCAATTATAACGTCGCATGTTCTTCTCACAAACGAAACAGTGCGGCATCAGCTTGCAATTTCACTCAGTTATTTTGTATAAGTGTGACCCTTTTCCGATCAAGAAGTCGTAGTTTTTAGCAGTCATAATACAGCTGTAGCGCAGTTCCACTGCGTAGAAAAATAACATGAAAATCAAGTTTTAGAAAGAGGATATACTTTTTGAATTTATTATACTGATGTGAAAAAATGAAACAAAAACGAAACCTACTTTTTTCTATTTAGCAGATTTCATAGAACATTTTTTTGTGTGTATTTTGATTGTTATTTTTGTCAATTATACTTCTTGGTTGGTTTAATATAAATTTATAAAAAATATTATGCCCCTAGGGATGAAAAAATATGGTATGAAATTTTTAATGTAACAATTTGGACGATGTTTTATTTGTTACCTCAAGCTTGTGGCATTCCCTAGTTTACTCAAAAGGGTCAAATCATTAAACATTTAATGACATTCTTCTACAAACTATAAGTATTTAAGCACCAACTTCTGGAACTATTGAAATTATTTTATTAAATTTAGAACTTTGAAATCGGATTCTATTTTCTATTTCTTTTAGTCATAAGTCATAACCTACAACGCAAGTATTTTACAAAATAATTATAGCATTTTAGACAAATTAATGATGAATACTTATGTACAAAATAGGGTATTTATAGCCCTCAGCAGGCTTACAAGTAAACACTTATTCTCATTAAGTCAGCGTGTAAACAATTTAATATATAATAATAATAATAATATATTATTATTATTATTATTTTCTTGTTGACATCAGACTCATTAAAGCCATAAATACAGCCTTTATAAGACTGAAACACTTTGTAGCACTTTGAGTAAATTATTACCGTAATGTGCATATATAAAGAGAAGGTTTAATGGTATTAAATTAGAAGTTTTTTTTTAATTAAGTACTAAAGCTCGGTTAACATTGAAATGCAAAGTTCAGTAAATACTCTTAAGTAAGACAGTGAGGTGACGTAATGCCTTAATATGCCGTACGGTATTCTCTACCAGTCACCCTGGGAGAAATAGACTAGTAAAAGTTAGCAAGAGATATCATATACGAATGCATCATATATATATATATATATATATATATATATATATATATATATATATATATATATTATATATATATATAATATATATACATACTATAATAATAATAACACATATAATATCACACAGTATAAATATAAAAAATAAATATATTTATACCGACATAATAAAACAACACTTGATGTTTTTTTCGTCTAGATAAT